TGTTTGGGGCATGATTCATGGCGGATTTTTGTCAGTTGTGTCAGGAACTGGTGGTTTGAAATCCAGACTAATCCACGCCTGATTCATTTTCACAAACGTGAGTCTCTCCACACTTTGGGTGGACAGTCGTGTTCTCCGCGGAGTTACAATACCTCCTGCCGCACTAAACACGCGCTCTGATGCCACGCTACTGGCCGGGCATGACAGCCTTTCAAGGGCAAATTCAGCTAGTTGGGGCCAAGGTCAAGTTTCGTTGCCCAGTAGTCAAGGGGATTGTCTACCTCGGTTGGCAGGGTGCTGTCCAAGTAGGCCGAGCCTGTTGTTTGAGGTCCTGCTCCAGGTCCACCTGATGCTGCTGCTGCTGCGGCTGGTTAGTAGTTTCCTCACTGCGCTGGTGAAGAAAGCTACTCATCATCGACTGCAGACTGAGGCAGCCGTTGCTGGTGGAGCTGCCACTGCTCCTACCACCCCACCCCTCCCCTGCTGCCATGGCAGCGGAACGCGAGCGCACAGGGCCCACAGTGTCTGAGGATGGACGTTGGCGCAGAAAGGCAGAGACCAATGACTACATAGGTGGTTTTTATAGTACTTTATTTTGGCCTCCCTCTCAGCAGGTGTGAAAAAGGCCACCATTTTTGAACGGTAGCGAGGGTCCAACAAGGTGGACAGCCAAAAGTCATCCCTCTGTCTGATGGTTATTATTCGGCTGTCGCTACGCAAGCAAGCGAGCATGCTATGGGCCATTTGTGCCAAGGAATGCGAGGGACTCCCTGCCTCCATCTCCACAGCATACTGCCACGGTGCGTCTGGGTCCTCTGTCTCCTCCTCCTCCTCCTCTACCAGATGCTCCTGCTCCTCCACTCCTGTCCGCTGAGTGGAAAAACCACCCATTTCACTCAATAATTCCTGAGCACCAATGTCCTCCTCTACCTCCTCCTCTTCTTCCTGTCCTGCCCCCACAGGGGTCATGTGGCGTTGAGATCTGTGCGCCACGTCTACCGCACCCTGACCAGCCATTGTTAACAGCATTTGTTCCAGGACGTGCAACAGAGGAATGACGTCGTTCATCCCATAGTCCTGCCGACTCACGAATAGCGTGGCCTCCTCAAAGGGCCTGAGCAAGCGGCAGGTGTCACGCATGAGCTGCCAATGGCTGACATCTAAGTTACACAGGGGAGTACCTTTATCCGCTTGTAACATCAGGAAATCGGTGATGGCCTTTCGCTGTTCGTAAAGGCGGTCTAACATATGTAGGGTTGAATTCCACTTTGTTGCAACGTCGCAGATCAGGCGATGCTGTGGAATTCCGTTCTGCCGCTGCAGCTCAAGGAGGGTGTGCTTTGCGGTTGTAGGAATGGCTGAAATGCATGCAAAGTTTACGTGACATTTTAAGGATGTCTTGCAGTGGGATGGTGGATTTTAGGAACCGCTTGACAACCAGATTGAACACGTGAGCTATGCATGGCGCATGGCACAACCTTCCTTGACGCAGAGCAGACACCATGTTCTTTCCGTTGTCGGTCAACATGGTTCCGATTTTCAGTTTGCGCGGAGACAGCCATCTGTCGATTTCTCTGTTCATTACACTCAGAAGTTCCTCCCCTGTGTGACTACGTTCGCCAAGGCATACCAGGTGCAGCACAGCGTGACACCGTTGCGCCCTGCACATGTGATATGCCGGTCGGGTAATGGGACTTGGCACGGGGGGTGGCGGCTGAGGACACGGCGGAAGAAGAGGTGGTAGAGGCGGACATCTTTGCTGGACCAAGGACGTGCAAACGTGGAGGCAAAAGCGGCGTGACCTGTCCAAGTTGCTGGTGCGGCTGTGCCGGCACCACGTTCACCCAGTGGGCCGTAAATGACATGTAATGTCCCTGACCGTAGTTACAGCTCCACACGTCGGCGCTGCCGTGCACTTTGGCAGAGACCGACATGCTCAAAGACTGGCCCACCATCTCTTCTACATGTGAATGCAGGGCTGGCACTGCCTTTTTGGCGAAGAAATGCCGGCTTGGCACTCTCCACCGCGGCTCGGCACAAGCCATCATTTCTCGGAAAGGTGCTGAGTCCACCACTTGGAAAGGGAGGGACTGCAGCACCAGCAACTTGGACAGGAGGACGTTCAGCTTCTGCACCGTCGGGTGCGTGTGCTCTCGCAAACTGTTGTCTCTTGGAAACGGATTCCAAGAAAGACTGCTGACGGAATCCGTGAAGAGGAGTAGCAGGAGAAGGAGCATCTGAACGAGCGGAATGATGCCAACGAGCGACAACTCCCCTCAGCAGAGGTGTTGGAGCCTTGACTGGCTGATAGAGGGCGATTGACGTCGGGTGACGGAGCAAGTAACGGAGCGGGTGATGGAGCGGGGGCTGGGGCAGGCAGAACCGCCGTATCTTTATCACGGTTTTCCCAGGCCACCGAATGGCGACGCTGCATATGCTGACGCAACGCTGTAGTCCCAACATGGGCCCCCCTGGCCACGCTTGACTTTCTGGCCACATAGTCGACATACGGCTACGTTTACTTCCTCGGGCGGCTTGACGAAAAATTGCCACACCGCCGAGTAGGAAACTTTGCCCCCGCTACTCCTCACTGGCTGACTGCTACTTCCTCCGTGCACACCGGCACCACTACTGGCCGTGGTGGTAGGCTGCAGTGGAGCTGGTGCTCTACTCCGTGGCCGTTTGGCTCCACTGACACTGCTGCGACCCTGCTGCCTCCTGGGCAACCCTCCGACTGTTTTGCTCGCTGGCAAGCTGGCACCCTCTTCTCCTGATGATGCGGAAGCAATAGCCTGATGACGACGAGGCTGCCAAGTGCGATCAGCCTCATCATCATCAATTAGGGTCTCCGCGTCACTACTAGCCCCCTCGGCTGCGTGTGGGTCAGGAGACAGACCTGTCTCTAGACCGGCTACCGAGCCACTCTCCTCGCCAGTACTTCTTCGCCTGGCTGCTGAAGAGGCGGATGTCTCCCCCCGTTCCTGACCGCCCTCTGTTAGCTCTTCCTCACTGTACAGTGGGGCTGAGCCCACAGCATGCGATACTTCGCTTGGTGAGGGAACACCAAAGGACAGGGGCAGGTAGAGGACACGTGATTTCAGTGGGCTTGCTCCCGGGCCATGCCAACTAACGGTGTGTGTCTGACGTACCCACCGACCGTTGGCTGTAGGTGTCAGAGGTGACCTGGGAAGAGGAAGACGACCGAGTCAACCAATCGATGACGGCAGGGTTGTCGGTGGAGACACGACCGCTGGATGACACCGGGAGCACTGGCCTCTGGCTGCGACTAGTGCTGCCTCGACCCCTTCCTCTGCTGCCACGTCTGCTCGCTCCTGAAACATTGCCTCCTCTGCCACTCCTCTCTGCGTGTTGTCTGACATACTCTTTAATTCAATAAGCACCCCAAACATAAAACAGGATTTAACTCTTTGAACGTACAATAGTGGTTGTGAAGCAGAAAGTAACGATTCTGTGTCCCTGAGTAACGATTCTGTGTCCCTGAGTAACGATTCTGTGTCCCTGAGTAACGATTCTGTGTCCCTGAGTAACGATTCTGTGTCTGTCCCTGAGTAACGATTCTGTGTCTGTCCCTGAGTAACGATTCTGTGTCCCTGAGTAACGATTCTGTGGCCCTAACTCTGTCCCTAATACAGACAGGTCTGTCTCTCTTGAATGACCGGAGGCTAATGGAGAATTCTAAGATGGCCGCGATTTATAGCTCCACCATTACACAGTGCTGGCTGGCTGGCTGCTGATTGGCTAATGCGATCACATGTCATGAATGAATGCATTATGGGTCAGCGCGCCTTGTCTGCGCGCCTTCCCAGAGATCCCCGCTCCATCGCCACACATGTCGCCGCCATTTTTGGGAAAATTCGATTCGTGCATCCGAAGTTTGCTAATTTTCGGATTCGGCGCGAATCGAATTTTTCCTAATCTTCGAAACGAATTCCACTTCGTCATGTTCGATTCGCTCATCTCTAGTGTCTACCACTAGAAGTGATGCTTTATTTAAAAGCAACCTAACAATAAATTCTACTTAAACAAATAACAGTATGTATAAATAGGTATGTAATCAGCATATTTTAGATCATCATCTCTCTGTGGTTTTAGTTTCCAAACCCTGTTCTGCCTCTAATCTCACATTTTAGACCTGGAAACATACCTCTTTATTGGAGCATAAGCTTTTTTTCTAATCCCTTTGAGTTGGGTATACCTCTCTTGCCTCATTCAGATAAGAGGCCTGACCAATGCTAATCAGTTAAAGTCTGATAAGGAACGAGTTTACTATGCTGCCTGCTATGTTATAAGAGCCTAAAAACAGAAGGTTCTGGAGCAGAGCTAT